CGTTCTTCATCGTCTCCACCTTCGGGTTCAGGTCGACCCGGTCCGTGAAGTTCACCTCCTTCGTGACCTTTACCGGCGCACACATTCCCAGCATCGCCGCGCCGAACAGCCACCTCGATAGCGCCGGAGGTCCCCGAGCAGCGGGTCGAGCTCGAGGGTCGAAAGGCGGTGGGCGGACCCCCGCGCTGCCGACCGCTGGGCCCTCGGGCCCATGCGAGCCCGCGCGAACAGCACCTCGTCGTACGCATAGGCATAGGCCGCGTCCTTCAGCGCAGGCATCGCCATCAGCTCCGGGTTGCCGTCCGCCGGCACCTCGTGATGGCGCACGTAGTCCACCAGCTCGGCCTTGTTCTTGAGTCCTAGAGCAGGAAGCACCCGCATGCGCCTCCTGGTCCCGTTGGATAGCGCCGAGCTCGGTGTCCCAGGGGCCGGGCTGCCCGCTGGCCCGGCGGAGCCTGAGGCTCCAGGCGACGCGCCCACGCTCGCAAGCGCCTCGCCTTCCTCCTGAGGGGCCCTCCTCCTCTGCTTCGCGCCCTGCTCCATCAGTCGGTCAATCAGCACCTCGACGCTCAAATGCTCCGCCCGCGGAATCTCCGGCACTGCCGCCATGGCCTCCAGCACATCCCGGGGGACACGTAGGAGCTGATCTCGATCGCAGAGCAGTGGCCGGCCTTCGGATGCAGTCGGCCTTGGCCTCGCTGGTTCCGGCTCCCAGTAGAGCCGGGTGACCGTGTTCCTCGGCGGGTCGAGCTGCTCGAACATCTCCTCGTTAGATAGCCCCTCGATCCACCGCAGGTCCACGATGATGTCGCCCGTATCCATGCAGAACGTCTTTCGGGCCCGCACCAGCTTCCAGTTCGGCCCGTCGCGGTTCGAGGACTTGAGCGCTCTCGCGTTGTAGTCCTGTCGCTCCCACATCTCGAGGCCAGAGACGTCGACCTCGCCGTCGGGCATGTTCCAGTCGCCCTCATCCTCGGAAACGGGGACCACGTCCTCGACCTCCGCGGCCCGCCAGTCTGCCGCACGGGCAGCCAACTCCGACTTCGCCGTCATCAGCGCTTCCTGCACCTTGGACTTGACGCGGGACACCGCCTCCGCCGTCGGGGCCCGCGACGGGGGCTTCCAGCTGTTACGTGGGAAGATCGGCATCGAGCAGTGCCCGCCGTCGGTCTCGTTCAGCCGCTTCGGTGCGATGCCGAGCCGGTCCGACTTGAACGAGTCCTCCGCGAGGTTAATGCCTGCGCCCACGCCGCGCAGCGCGTCCTTCCCGATGAGCAACTGCAGCGACGAGTCCTCGATGACCGAGAAGGCCAGGTAGGCGTCCGCGCCGAAGACCGACGCCGGCACCGCCCAGCGCTCCTTGGAGATCTGCTTCTGGCCGTTCCCGAAGCGGAAGATCGCGAGCTGCGGCTCCATCTTGATGTAGTTCTCGATGCCCGGCTCCTTGCGCCGATCCTCGAAGTCTATTGGCGTACGCGTCGCCCGACACCGTGCTGTTGCAGGCTGAGTCGAGCGCGCCGTCGTCTCCTTGGCCCCCGATGGACGCCGACGAAAGCAACGCCTCCTGAATGGCTCGCTCGTCCCTTGACCCATCCGAGGGCATCGGGCCGGCAGGAGAATGGGGGCGCAGCCCTGCACCGAGACCTGGGCCATCCGTCATCCCTGCGCCATGGTCGACGGGAGAAGAGGGGGCACCACTCCCCGCCCCAGGAACTGGCCCATCTGCCGGCCCCCCGCCAACGGAAGAAGAGGAGGCACCACTCCCCATGCCAAGGACTTGCGTCGCCATCAGGACTTCGTACGAACGAGTCGTGCTTGCCAAAGCGTCATCCTCTGCTGCCTGCTGGCCGGCGCCCTCGTAGATCTCCGTGTAGTCCCGCCCACGCATCGCGCGCCTGACATCACGATCGTTTCATTCGTAGACGCAGTCCGGGCAGAACGGCGGGTAGTCCAGGTGACTGCGCTTGGTGTCCGTCTCCTCCGTCGCCGCCGGCGTCTCGCACTGCTCGTGCCCGAAATTGCTGGTCATCAGCACCTCGAACACGTCTTTCTGAATCTTTGTCGTCTGCGCATCCAGAACTTCTGGCGTCTGCAGCAAGTCCACCACCATCGCGTCCTTCGGATTGAACCGCTGCTGCAGCTTCTTCTTGGCCTGCTCGGCCTTCCACTCTTTGAGCTTCGGGCAGCACGCGTCGCCGGCCCAGTGACCCTTCTCGCCGCAGGTGTGGCAGTCCGAGTTCTTCTTGTCGGGACTGCTTTTGCCGAAGCTCGTCGTGAACTTCTTGCCGCTGCTCGAGCTTGAGCCTGAGCCTCTGCCGCCGCCCTTGCCGCCAAACTTGCGGCCCTTCCGAAGCTCCTTCACGCGCTTCTTGCTCTCTCGCACCGTGATGGGGCCCTCCATCATCGATTCCACGCCGCTCTCTAAGTTCCCGAGCTCCTGGGCCAACTCGGGATCGTTCTCGGCCTCCTCGAGCACCGTCGAGAGCGCCTCCAGCTCCGCGGCGAAGATGCCCTCGATGTCCTGGTCCTGCTCGGTCGTCAGCACCTCGTCCACCGTCTCGTCGTCGGCGTCACCGTCGAAGCTGCCGAGCTCCGCATTCAGCGCCTCGAGCTCGCCCTCGTCTAGCTGGCTGAGCCCGTCGAGGTCCTCCGTCACGTGTGCCTCCTTGAACTTGCGAATCACCTTCTTCTTCAAGAGCTGCGTCCCCGGACGGTTGAAGGTGATCGTCCTTCTGTTGCGGTCGAACGTGCCAGGACGCCGCTCCGTCATGTGCAGGCCGGGAAACACCCGCATCATGGCTGGGACCACCTCGCGAATCTCCATGCTGCCGCCGGTCGAGGTCATCAACATACTTTTCTGCGTCTCGTTCAGGCCGGTCTTCTCAATCAGCCACCAGCCCGCCGCTCTCGCTGGCAAGGCCACGTCTTCTTCGTCCAACTGGCTCCGAGCCTCGCCGAACCTGATCATCCACGAGTTCAGATCCTCGCCGGCCCTGCGATGCAGCTGCTTGTAGAAGTAATGCATGACCTGGCCGCGCCTCGTCGAGTCATCCACGCCCATCGTCCCGAGCACCTCCATCAAGCGGTTGATGCCCGCCATGGTGTCGGGTTCCTGCCAGTGGCCGCGCTCCTCGCGGTCCCTGTCCTCGGCCGCCGCGGCAGCCGCTTCCTCGTCCAACTCCTCGGGGATCCACTCCCAGGTCTTGGCGCGCAGCTCCACCATCGGGATGGACTCGCCGAGCGTCTTCGCCGGGCCTGTCAGGCACCGAACCATTCGTGCCGCCCAGCTCCAGCTCACGTCCAGATTGATGCCCTCAATCCACAATGCCACGTCATTCTTGTACCGCCGCCACCGCCCAGGGCTGCCGTCCCACGTCGGAATGCCCTCGAGGTCGCGGCTCGTCCATGCTGGTGATTGCACCCAGCTCGTTGATCTTCTCTCCTGCCAGGTGCCTCCACCGCCTCCGCTCGGCCGCGGAGGGAGGGCGTCCGGGCTGAGCGTGCCGCCGCCCATCGCCGGGAATCGCCCGGGAGACGATGCCTGTCGCATCGTCCTTGTCGTCGCTCTCCGTGTACACGTCCAGGTAGTACTCGTCCTTCAGCACTCGCTCTGCACTGAGAATCGTCGTAGATCTCGCCCTCGGCCGATGGCGCCCGCGCAGCGGCGGGCTCCGCTACCACTGCGGAGCCGGGCTGGGCCTCCCCTTGACCTCCCGATCCCGCAACGTGGGTCGGCGGCGGAGCCCGCAGGGCTCGAGGTGAGGGTGAGGCCCCTTTTCCAGTCCTGCTACCAGGAACCAAATCGCCTCAAGCCGGCTCCAACCGAGCCGGCAGCAGTGATAGAGAGAGAGAGAGAAGAGGGAGAGAGAGAGGGGGGGGAAAAAGAGTACATAAGGGGCTTAAGGGCAGAGCAGGGGGCATATCCAATCCGAGGGGCATGTTTTTCCACATTGTGCTGGAGGTTGTGCTGGAGGTTGTGCTGGAGGTTGTGCTGGAGGTTGTGCTGGAGGTTGTGCTGGAGGTTGTGCTGGAGCTTGTGCTGGAGGTTGTGCTGGAGGTTGTGCTGCAAGTTGTGCTGGAAGTTGCGCGGGAGGTTGTGCTGGAGGTTGTGCGGGAGGTTTTGCTGGAGGTTGCGTTGGCGGTTGTGCTGGAGGTTTTGCTGGAGGTTGTGCTGGAGGGTGTGCTGGAGGGTGTGCTGGAGGTTGTGCTGGAGGTTGTGATGGGGGGTTGTGCTGGGAAGGGTTGTGCTGGGGGGTTGTGGTGGAGAGGGTTGTGATGGGGGGCCGTGCTGGGGGGTTTAAGCGGCGCCTGCCCACGAGAAAACAGAACGCCCAACAAAATGTGCGGCCCGCGTCTGTGCCAGAACAGAACGACCAACAAAACGGCAGCCCGGTGGCCAAAACGCATGGGCGCGACGGCCGGCGTTCCGAACATGTGAAAACGTGTTTTGAAACGCGTTCACAACGAAAAACAAAGGTCACACGGAAACAGATGGGAAAAAGTAGGAAAACACCGTTTAGGTCGAGCCCTGCTATGAATACTACTCTCCTCTTCCCCCCGAACACCCCTTATGAGGGAGCTCGTCCCCCTCCGCATATTGTTTTCTACACATCAGATGCATGCGAGTTGAAATTTGAAATGCTGTACGTGTTTGTCTAATCCGAGCGCCTTCGGTTCTTCCACACTGTTGCTCCTTCTGCAGCGCTGGCGCTGGCCTTAGTGTTGGGCGTCTGCTCTATCCGAATCGTGTTCCCGCCATGCTGTGTCATGTTACGCTCTGCTGTGCTCTTCTACGCCATGCTACGCCGTGCGCGACCATGCATCGCATACCCTCTGGGGATCATTTCCCTGCTCGACATCAGACAGTGCGAATTGAATGGAGATCTACGCCATGGTAAGGGATGGGAGGGAGGGGTTGGACGTCAGATAAGACATGTGTGCACCTAGCTTGCCATCCTCCTCATCCTCTGCCTCCCCCGCAGGGCGGCTAGGGCGGCCGCGTTCCCCTCGTGGTGTGGGTCCCACAGCAGGCTCTTGACGGGGCCCAGGGGCGCCTCGGTGTCGTCCTGCTGGAGGCTGCTCAGGAGCTCCAGTCTCCCCTCCTGGGAGGCGCGCAGGGCGCTCGGCGCGGCGCGGGGGAAGAGGAACACAATAGACAGACACATAGGATCAGAGATCTTGCGAAAAGAAATGTTGCTAACCCGCCTCCTCCCCTCCCGCCTCCCTCCCTCCCTCCTCAGAAGACGTCGAATGCATTGCAGCGCATGGACAGCCAATTTGGAAAGCAATTGTGAAGCACGTTTGTGTTTCCATTGACCCGATAGATGCTTAGGTGTAATCTCTGATTGCCGCTGGTCCCAGGCGGCAAGCATGTTTCCCCTGCTGAGCTGATGTGTCGTGCGAACAGAAGAACGAGCGAACCTTCCAAGGTCCCATTGTGCCCCCAATGCTTCTGAGGGCCCCCAGGGCCATCGGAGAATAAGGAGCTTCCGTGGGCCCCCTGCTGGCAGGCCGGCTTCTTTTATGAAGTGCCTACTGTAGGGGGGAAGCGGCAGTTTCTGGAACTCGGCGTCTGAGCGGCAATGCCAAGGACCTGGCCTTCCGCGTCGGCTCCACAAGGCTCGCAGGTCACTTGGGCAATGGCGCACATGGTGGCCCAGACGATTTGCCGATCGGAGCGAGGCGAGCCGAGAGAGCCGTGCTGCAGGAAATGTGCTTGCACCGCTGGAGCGCCAAGACGAAAACATTGAGAGGCGCCCCTCGCCCACAGCCTTCGGGAGCTGAGAACGATCACGGGCTCTGCAATGGCCATCAGGCTCTGCCAGAACGTTCCCGGGAGGTCCCCCTGGGTTCCTCCCAGTGCCCCCCCCCTTGCCTTCGGCAAGCCTCATGGTTTGCCGGTCCTGAGGCCAAAGACGTGGAAAGCTGAAATCTGTAAATGCTGACAGCTGGAAGGCTGAAAGCTGGAACGCTGGTTGGAAAACTGGAAGCTGGCAAGGGCGGAAAAGCTGAAGAAATGCTAGAAATATGGGATTCTGGAGAAGGTGCCAAAATGGCCGTTCGGAAACGATCTGACCACGCCCCGAGAACGCGCCCCCACACCCCACAGACCCCACAGACCCACTTGGACCCCTAGAGGTCTGGACCCCTTCCTGGGAACTGGTTCCTCATCCCGAATCGCTTTCCAAAATTTCATGCTTGTTGGGTCAGGGCCCCCTAAACAAGGGCATACGAAACGATGGCTGAGGCTTTTCCATATGCCCCCATTTACTGTGCCCCGTCTACGGAGCCCAGGGTCCTTTCAACATGGGCGTAGCCAAACGTAGAATTCGGAGTTCTCCGTGTCCCTGTTTGCTCTGACCTCGGCTCCGGCGCCATTGGGGGAAGAACCAGTGGATGCAGGGCGCGGTTGGCTCCGGCGTTCCTCGGGACTCCCCAACCTTGCTTCCTTACAAAGGGCCTCCTCGGGAGTTCCCCGGCCTTCTTACATTACACGGGCCTTGGGCTTCCTGGCCTTGCTTCCTCACAAAGGGGTTCGTCGGGTTCCCCGGTCATGTTCCATGCTAGTGTTCTTCGGATTCCCCAATCTTGTTCCTCGGGTTCCTCGGTCTTGTTCCCTGCTCGGCCCCGGTTTGGTTCGTTGCTTGGGTCACTCGGGTTCCCCACTCGTTCCCTGCTTGGATGTCTCGGGTTCCCTGGTCCGGTTCGTTGCTAGGATTCCTCGGGCTACCCCGTCGCAGTCATTGCTTGAATTCCTCGGATGCCCCCGTCTTGTTTCTCGTGCTCCCCAACATTGCAAAGCAATGCCCGGCAACGCCAAAAAATGCAAAATATTGCGGCCATGCGACAGGATTTGTTTTCGAAGTTTGAGCCGCCCGGGGTTAATGTGATGGCCCCGAGGTCCAGTGAGATTCCAGAGAGGCCGGATATTTTATCTCGCGTAATCCAGAAACTGGATATCAGCGCACTCTCGCGCGGAGCCCGTGCGCGCGGGCGGCAACGCTGACCGCACTTATCATGAGCTGATCGGGAGCTCCGCACGAGCCGAGGAAGCGCTGCCTCGGAGCTGCCTACGAGCTCCGCGCGAGCACGGGAGGCATTGCCAAAGAGAACAGCTGCCCAGGTGCTACCCACGGCTCTAGGAAGCGCTGCCGGAGCGCTGGTCACGAACCTGGGGAGCGCTACCTAAGAACTGCCTGAGCGCTGGCCAGGAGCCTGGGAAGCGCCGCATATGAGCTGCCTCAGAGCTGCGCGCGGACTCAAGAAGCGCCGCCGAAGAGCTGCGCGAGCGTATGCGGTACACGCATAAGGAACGAATAGGAAAACTCTTGCGGGACACGCTGCAATTTTCGGCAAACTGTTGCATCGCTGCCTGCCCGGCAGCCGTGGCAGCGAAACTGGCCTGGCCCAGCCTGCCGGTCAGCCTTCAAGGGACTATCTGGGCAAAACCTCCCGTCGTGATTTGGTCACGACGCGAGGTCCGGGGCGATGGCGGCGCGTCTCTCCTGCGCGCCCCTGTCTCCAGCCCGCCAGAGGCGGAGGGCCCCAGGGCCGCCAGCCTTGCCGCTGGCGTAGGTGAGCACCTCGCGGAGAGGGGTGCGGCGGCGCCACCCTCCTCAGTGCCTCCCGATTGCCTCCTCGTCTCTGCTCCCTCCGCCTCTTCAACCTCCTCCGTCCTCCTCTGTCCTCCTCCGTCCTCCGTCCTCCGTCCTCCGTCCTCTTCCACTTCTCCTCCTCTTTTCCTCCACTTTATTATGTCCTCTTGCTTCCCCTTTTTCCTGTTTCTTCCCCCCCCCTCCCGCTCCTCCTCCTCCTCCTCCTCCTCCTCCTCCTCCTCCTCCTCCGTTTCCGTCCGCGTCCTGGCACGTAGCCGCAGCCTGCTTCCCTCGTCGTGCTCATTCTCCTTATCACCACACCACCACCACCATCATCATAATCCGAATCCGACTCAGAATCATAATCAGAATCATAATCAGAATCAGAATCATCCTCATCCTCATCCTCATCCTCATCCTCATCCTCATCATCATCATCATCATCATCATCATCATCATCATCATCATCATCATCATCATCATCATCATCATGATCATCATCAATCATCATCGTCATCGTCATCATCCTCGTCATCCCCGTCATCATATGCATCTCGATGCTCCTCCTCATCAGCAGTCTCGTCATCTCCACCACCATCACCATCACTCTCGCTGCCCTCTAAAATGCTATCATCATATCCATCATCGTTATCATCGTCGTGATCATCACCGTCATGGCCGTATTCATCACAATTATCATCAACATCAACATTATCATATGTATCATACTCCTTATCCGCCTCATCGTCATCACCATCATCACCATCATCGCCATACACCAACCATCATCATCCTCACCATTACCATCCTCATCCTTATCCCCATCATCATCATCATCATCATCATTCCCATCACCATCATCATCATTGTTAGCGTCCTCTGCCATATCCTCATCCGCATCCTCATCATCATCCCCATCATCCCCATCATCATCACCAGCAACATCATCATCATCGCCATCGTGGCACCGTTCTCGTCATCACCATCGTCATCGCCATCATCGTCACCACCATTACCACCATCCGCATCTTCGTCCTGGCCAGCAACATCACCATCATTTGTATATAGATGTGAATACGCCAGCATCTGGAATGAAAGCTCTGCCTGAATGTGCGGCTGGAGACTTGTCAAACGGGATTCAGGTTGGCTTTACAACCGCTCCTGAAGAAATCCCGTCGCACAGGGAGCTATCTCCCTGTAACTCGCAAGGCGCGTGCGCAGGCAGGTGCTCGAGCGGCGTGGCTGGCTGCACGGGGGAGGCAGGAGAGACGCTACATATCTAGATTGATGTCAAATCCTAGTTCTGCTGCAGCCGCTTCGTGAGTTAATACATCATTCGCTGAGATTCCATCTCCTACTTGACTCGGCGATCTAACCTCCCGATCGCCTGGAGAGTCCTGGGGAGCGGCTGACGGGCGGGCATTCATAAGTACTGGCTCGGTGAGCGATGGCCCCAGGCTCGGTCGATCGAATCAGCGGTGGGGCGTCAGCCTCGCGAGAGATCACGATGATGTTCTCTCAGCATCAGGGCGCAAGACCGCGCCACAACATCAATATCACAATTACAACACAGTGAAACTGGCTGGCCGCCTCGAGCCGAGGCAGCCACGGGCGATGGGGAGGGCATCAGGAGAGGGCCAGGAACATGATATTCGACTCTGGCACCATATCCATGTCGCAGACAGCTCTCCCCACCAACAACATCTCTACGTAGTCCACGTGGAAGAGGTCAGTCAAGACCAGGTCGTCCACGATCGTCTCAAACGTCACATGATCAAGATCAGTCATTGGACAGCATTCGCGCACAACTCTTAACAATCAACACCGGCTCTCGGCCACAAGTGTATCTGCTCCTTGATAGTCATACGCCACTGTCCTGTGCCAAACGCTTCCACCACAGCATTTCGAGAAACTCCTCCCTTGGTGAGCGCGTCACAAAGCATGTCTCTGGTGTCGCATCTGAGTAATCCAGTCAGCGAGCCGCACTCAAGTCGATCTCGCATAGCACGGACAGCATACAATTGGCTCCGATCGTTGGGCATCGCAATCTCTTCTGCAGTAATAGCCGCGAAGACGGCGTGAGCATCGCCCACCAAATGCAAACACATATCAATGGCGTTGGTATTAACTGCCTCATGTAACTCCTTCGCGCCACGGGACCCAGCGAGTACTTGATGCCAGAAACCGTGGTGCAACATGCCCAACTCACAAGCCTCCAACTGATTGGTAAGTTCAGCTCCAAACGTACTGCGCGTCACCCTGGGCTGCTTACGACTGTAATAGTCAAGCGCATGCATAGATCCACCTGGAACTCCACTTCCTATCTCAATCATCACAAGAATGGTAGCTCGAATCGCCAAACAGTCATCAGAAACATCAGCACGATAAGCTGAATCAGCTATAACACACAAGCGTACCGGTGGTTCCAGATGGGCATATTTGATACAGAACGGCTTTCTCTTGATCCACTTCAATAACGTGTTGAGCCCTTTTATGTCTCCGACCGTGACATTCTGACTATGCCTCTGGAACCGACCAACAAACGCAGCAATTTCAGCTCTCGTAAGCGTCAGCCAGGCCACGCCGCCAAGAAGACTCCAATACATACCTTGTAACGTACTGTCCACCAGCTCCTCGCCAGGCTTGCCTGTGAACAACGCTGCGTTGATCGGCCTGAGCTGGGACACAGAAGGATTCTGATCTATCGTGATGGCCTTGCTCACTCCGTCTTGGGAGTGCTGGATGCCAACACGCTCAAACGGTGCGATATTTACCGTCACGCCCTCATACTTCTAACGAAACTTGTCGAATATCCATTCCCGTGTATCATCACTACACGCACCCTTCAGATCATCAACATGAGTGCCGAGAACAGCCAACAACACTGCAATGTCGAACAGCAGCCACAGCTGCCGATCCGCCTCGGTAGGAAAGAAGCCCAGCTCCTTCAGGGTATCTGACAAATCGACCTGCCACGCCCATGGGGCGTCATTCATGCCAAAACAAGGCTTCTTCATGTTCAGCGTCTCCATGACCTCGTTGAAATTCTCGCATCCTTCTATTTGCTTCAGCAGTGCCGCGCCATCAGGACGAAGGTCAAACTGAAGACAGCGCATCTTGAATCCAAGCCGCCCGGCAAGTTCCTGAAACGTCTTACCACGAAGAAACGCCATCGAAACATCGAGTGACCACAGTGTCCAGCCATGCTGAGCTGCGATAGAACAAACCGCTCTCTGACCCCAGCGAGAAGCAGTTCCCGCAGCCGTCCTCATTCGATCCTTCTCGTGCTTCTGACGATCCTTGAAGCCTTTCACGGTGAGACGGCCCTTGACATCTCGCTGGCCTCCGATAATCTTCCACATGATAACCCAGCGCGAGTCTATACGATCGTCGGCGTCCGTTTTGTTCATCCGTTCAACAACGCCACGAGACACCCAACGCTTGAGTTCCTTCAGCTTGGCGGCCACAACCAACTCGTGATGCTTCTTCATCTCTGCTGCCGAAAAGTTATTGAGATCGCGCTCGATGATCGGCGAGGTCTGGGTCTTCAAAACATTCATCGCCAGCGCGCAATTCTTGGCCACCGTGCTCGGAGTAAGCCCGAGTCGCTAAACCTGTCTGCGTGGAAACTCAATGCTGCTTGGCTCGTCCCGGTCCGCGTCCGTCAGCTCCACCGCCGGGACCTGTCCCCCAAGATGCACAGGGGCGGCAGAAGAGGCTTCTTTTTCCATAACAACGAATGTCCAGAATAGATCCTCTTGCTCGGCCTCCGCGTCCTCATCATCAGCTCCAGTACTCTGTTCTGACTCCGTACCTCTCGCATCCTCTGACGATTCGTCGGGAACATGCGGCAAACAAGGAGCGACATGGGGCCGAGGATTGCCACTTCCTTCTGAACCAGTTGATATTTGCCTCTTGCGATCACCCGGTAACTCAATGACATCCTGACCATCGAAGCGACAAACCTTACTCCGTTGCTCTTCATCAGAGGGTTCGCTCCTGGGTCGGCGCACGCCAGGCAAGCGCACACCAAGGGGAAGCGCTCCCTCGTCGGGGTCGAACTGTTCATACATGCGCCCGAGGTGCGGGACATCAGGAACCGCTTGCCGAGCCAACTCGGTATCCTCGAGAGGAACAATAAAGAACTGAAGAAACACCATATCTTGCCAATTGTCACCAAGTAACTTCGGAAGGGACAGTCGTACAGTGCCAAGAGCTTGCTGCCAGTGCCAATCGAGTGGACATCATAACTTCCAGAAAATAAGCAGCGTCTCGTCGACGCCGGGCATGCACTCGAGGTCCTTGGCACCATGTCCCAGACGGCCGCCACTGCAGCATTGGAGTCGCAAGTCACATGATGCAACATGCAGCATAGCATAGAAGATGATGGGGTACTTGGCACACTGTCTCGAAAGCTTCCAGCCTGTTGAAGTGCTCTCACACGCTACGGTGGCCGCTCCCTTCTCGATACTCTCGGCAAGCTCCTGCACTAGAGTCAAGAGCAGCTCACAATGCTGTCGGAAGTGTTCGGCGGCCACCATCACAGACATGGTGAGCGCATGGCGAACATCAGCCAGACGACAGCTGATGCTACGGGAACGCCACTGTACGTCCACCACGCCTTCACTGATACGATTGATGTTCACGACCGTCGCAGGGCCCCGCCAACCCGAGACGTCCTTGTTCGGCGGGTCCCTCCAGATGTCGACCAAATCTCCGAGCTATAAGTTCTGGCATTCACCTGCCGAGCGTGTGCGAGACTGAAGAGCACGATCCATGCGCTGATGAGCTGGCGAACTCACAACAGCACCAATAGCCATCTCACGAAGCCGATGGACATGGCACGAGACACCGTCGATGCCGTCATCCATGTCTTCCAGCGCCGTAGCCGAAGCCGGCCCCAGATCAGTCAACATCGGGATGGTGCGACCAAGCACCGCCTTGTAGGGTGTAATGTTGCCAGTGGTGGCGATCATACAATTCTTTGC